GCCAAGATTGTGGCAACATTCTTGGTAAAGCTGCTCATGTTCAAATGTATTGTTTTGACTTAAAATGTTATAGTATTTTGTATTTGTTAATCATGTATACTATACTAGTAACTAGTGGTTCATACCTGATAATAAAATATTAATTTTACTTAGCACTTTTTGGACAGTCAAATATTCTTTACAAAGGGACAAGTCATTGAATTAAAAGCTAGAATCAAGTGGGTTTTGAACAGTGATTTGGGGTTCTGAAGTCCGGGTTTCTGATGGTTTTGGGGGTGAGTTCCACAGGGATCGGACCTCAAAGTTCAGAAGGCTCAGGGTTCAGAAGGCTAGGTCTTCTGGGTTCAGAAGGTTCGGTCCTCTGGGTTCAGGAGGTTTGGTCCTCAGGGTTCAGAAGGCTCTGTCCTCTGGGTTCAGGAGGTTTGGTCCTCAGGGTTCAGAAGGCTGTGTCCTCTGGGTTCAGGAGCCTGCAGAACTGTAAGAGCCGTCAGAGAGTCTGGCTTTGACATGTGCCTCAGCCCTGATGTTTATTCACCAGATTAAATACAGATACGGCGTTCTGTTTGGGTCTGGTCCAGTTTCAAGTCTGTGTTTTGTCCCTCTTTTGACATCATGTGAATAATGTGATTCAATCCCATTTGTGATACATGAAGACAAAGCCAGCTTCCATATTTCAATTGAACTTTATCATGTCCATTTTGTGAGATCATGTATATAGGATTCTTTGGATGTGGTCACAAAGGCCCGGATGAAGAGAGCGGACTGAGGTCACCCTGAGCTGATGGTGCTGCTTGTTTGGTTCTTTCATATCTACTAAAGTGTATTTAAAGCTGGGGTACCTAACTTTCAAACCACATCTATCTAATTAGTCCCAGGCTCTAAAACAGTTTTGGTCTAATATGAGTTCTCACATTCCTAAGGCTATTAGACAGAAAAGTGAAATAGAGAGGTGTTTCTTTATCAGCGATTTTGGAGATTGTCTAATGTGGGGATGAATGGAGAACCCTTGACCCTAATCTGCTCCATTCCCAGTCGGACTAGGGCCTCTCTGAGTGGAGTTTGCATGTTCTCCCCGTGTCTGCGTACTGTAGGTTTCCTCCGGGTGCTCCCGTTTCCCGTACCACTAAAAATATGTATAATAGGTCTAGCATGCGCCTGTACTGGCCCCGCTCCTATCTCTGTGTGGCGTGAGAGGACAATTGTCCAAAAAAATAACACTTGTAAACCGCTTTGTGACTCTGTCTGTGAAAGGCGGTATATAAATAAACATTACTTACTTACTTACTTACTCCATTGAGGTAAAAATGTGAAGTTTTTATTGCTAAAAAACTTGCAATGCGACAGCTCTTCTCTCCACAGATATGACTTGTTACTTAAACAAGTAAAGTTGTGCAATAAATGATAAATATGAGGTAATAAATGCTTGAATCTAGTGGTTTTTATCTTATTTTGAGTACATTCTGTTTGTATGGCATGGTCTGTTGGGAGACATTTCTTGTATCTTTTTAAAACAAGATAATTTTGCTAGTGTCATTGGTTAATCTTGTTTTAAGGTAGACAAAATGTACTCAAATTAAAGAATTTTGATTTTTGTATACTGTGGTTTTATTGCAGAAAAAAAAAAAGCATTTCGATCAGGGGTGTCCATCCATCCATTTTCTTCCCCTTAATCCATTCTGGGTCGGGGGGTTGAGGTAAGAGCTGCTCCCAGTACACATAGCACTAGCCCAAAGTAACCAGGAACACAAATTCACAGTCATTCAGCCAACTTCAGCTCAGATTCAGATCAGATTCATTTATTTCTTTGTCTCCTGAGGGAGTAATGTGTCTTGGAGCTCCATCAAATGTGAAGCAATATATGTCATAACCTCATTTTAAACCTCAAAATTGACAAATTGTTTGTTGGATAAATAATCTCTCCCATTGAACACATATATACACATTTATAGTAGGCTGCCCTTATGCCACTCTATACTGTATATAATGTTTAGTTCTATTGTTAAGACACCGCTATGCGTTCACTGGGAGCATGTACGAAGTCATAGAAAAGCACATTCTTCAGAGGATTTCTCAGAGCCGACAAACCGGGATCCAGGTCAGACGTCTCATGCATGTCTTCATAAAACATTCACAGTAACATTTATGCGCCAGACAAAGTGGCTGCCTCATAACCGGGTATTCTGATCATTTATGTATATAAGAGATCCGACTTGTTTGTTTTCTGGTTGTGGTGGTTTGTGACAAAATATCCTCAACACCTATAAGCGCATGTTAACTTGCAAGTATAGAATGGGTATTATTAACTCCTTGAGGAAATTCTCTCCATTGCGGGTTAGATTGTAAAAAATTGTAGGCATACCAGGGTCTTTTTCCAGGACTCCCTAGAAACAGAGGTTCTTAATCTCAGTGGGAATTTCCTGGTTAAAAAAGTTGAAAAAATACAACATGTGTTTGTACTGTTTTATAGATATAGTTGCATAGATATAATGTGGGTGATTGCATTTGCATTTAACCTTTATTAAACCAGGAAAAATACCATTGAGAGTAAAAACTTATTTTCCAAAGGAGTCTTGGCCAAGAGACAGCAAAACACTAACACAATTTAGTTTTGCAAGTCACGTTATTGATGTTGTTTGTCATTGCTGGGCTCCGGGCTTCATGGTTTTTTTTTTGTATCTGACAAGGACAATGGATTCATACAAAGTTACAGCTAAAGATGCAACATGTACAAAGTTGATGCTAATTCTTCACTCCATGAGCTTTTTCCTCCATGTAATACTAATTATATAAAAATCATAAAAGAAGAATCTTAATTAGTGTTCTGACGTCTCTTGACATAACTGCATGCAAGATATACAAAGGTTAACACACACACGCACAGAAACAAAAGCACACCCACTCACACACACGTGCACACAGAACCAAAGTTTTCCTTAGTTCAACTGCAAAATACTACGGGGAAATATTTAAAACATGAAACTGAAGTGAGATATTTTAGTTTTGAGACTGCTTTATTGATACATTTGCAGATTATATGCAATGAATCTATATCAAATGAACTTTTCAACATCGAAAGCATCAGAGTACAGTCCAGTGACCTACAGGTTTACTCATTATACCATCCATTTAAAATATCTTAATTTAAGTAAGATATGACCATGATCGGACAAAAAACACCTGAAAATACATCGCAATTCAGTAAATCTACACTTTTAGAAATAAATTATTGGAATTGATTGGTGAAGTCTTTCAAAAGTAACTATATTGTTCCACTTAAATGACTTTATCAATTCGATTTAACACATTATTTCTTGAGACAGTCAAACACCAGGGCCCGTATCTCAGCCCCAAAGGAACGCTCAAAACAACCATTCTTTACAAATTAAATCATTTCCATAGAAAAAGATTACTATCAACAATTATCTAAAGCAACTAGAATGAGAATGACTCTAGAATGACTTTTTCCTAGTATCCATATTCTGTAGCAAAATATTTCAAAAAGTTCTTCTAACAATGTCTGTTGCGTTTTACATGACAAAACATTTTTGTGTTTTGTTTGACTTTGGTAATTCAGGAAGATTTGCCCGCTGCTCAATGGTGTGAATAATGTGCTAATAATGTGTAATACTTTGTTAGCTGCTCTTTGTCCCAAATGTGTCCAATCCCTCTGCGGCTGAACCTCACCTGTGGCATTGCTCTCATTCCTCAGGTAACTATGCACCTATGACTACAGACTGTGGTATTTAGAGATTAGGGAATCCTGTATGTCCTAGTTTGACAGCAGCTCGTCCAGTAGAGCTGAGAACGAGATGTTAGAATTCATTGTTAGGAAAAGAGGAGAGAATATTGGTATTGATACATTGATACAAAAAAAAACAACCAAAAAACTTTCTCCAGTATTTCAAAAAAGTGGGCCATGCACTGACTGACTGAATGCACTGATTTCAACTTTGATTTTGAAAAAATGTTTGCAATCTGTTCAGTTCAAGTGTAAAAATAATTCAGTATTTATTATTCAAATCAGTGTAAAGATATGTTTTGAGGCCTTCAGGACAAAGAAAATTCATGATTATAAACATAGACACAGTTACAGTCTCAGACGTAGGCTCAATAACGCAACTTACAAATAATTAAATGTTCGGATAGAGTTCATATGTTGACTAAGTAACTAAATACCTTACTGTGGCCATCATATCTATCAAACATTCTTATACAAAGCCAATTATGTGTAATATAATTTTCAACTACTTGTTTTGTGTTTAGAACATTTTAACTGTTGTCTTATTACTGTCTTTATTACTCAAGCCAGGACGGGTAAATAGCCTAGAATATTTAAATAGCCAAGATGTAATTTCTGATCATTTGTGTGTATTAAATCTGATAACTGTAGAGAACCATTGGCAAAGTAAAGGCAAGTGTATTAGTAGAGTACAATTCATACATAGGGCAAACCAATGTGCTTTACAAGAAAAGAAAGGAAACATTAAAATCATCAAACTCGTAAAAGCATTATCACAGTTCATATTATGTGTTTGGACTTGTAAATCCACTGGGAGTCGCTGTTGGGGGCATTACTGGACTAGTGCATGGATGTTCTATGGACTATTGTCGTTCTATAAGAAATGTTCATTTAACATTTATTTTGAACTTTCATCAAACTCTTTCTCATCTGCTCAAGCACAACAGTGTGTATTTCGGGTTACGCAAAACACGCACGGAGGCATATCAAATTGGATAATACTTTATTATTTGTTTATGCACTTAATAATATGCAGCTTTCATGCTTACAAAGTGTGGGAAAAGAAACGTTATTATTATTTATTGCATTGTAAATCTGTAGACGTCTCTCCTCTCGCACGGTACGTCATCTGTGCGTGCGCGCCCCCGTGTCCCAGTTGCGACCGTTAGCTGCGGCGGCCCCACACCGAGCTCGATCTAAACCACAACACTAGGAGAAAAAACAGGACCTCCGAGCGCGTCTTCACGACCTGGTCTGGACTATGAACTCTTCTATACCTGTAGCGGTAAGTGGCCTGTGCTGGGACCTCTCCGTGTGCGCGTTTCTTCACTTAAAAAAAGACTTGTTATGTTGACGACGGTGGTGTCTGCGCTCTCCCGTTCAGATCTCAAAATGGCGGACGTGCTAAGCTAAGTGGGCATAGGTGGCACTGGCAGCTCCATCCAGAGCGGCTTCACCCCAAAGCAGCCTAACACAAGTGCACAGCGTGACACATACTACATCACACATTGCACTCATAAACAAGGGTTGTCAGCGGGCGGGTTTCAGGCGTGTTAAGATGCATTGCTAACGTTAGCTTATTTATGAAAGTTGACAAAGTGAGCTAGCGTGGTTAACGACCCGGCTAAGCTACATGCTGTCATCCCAGTGTCTCCGCGGTGCTTCAATAAAAGTCATGAAATACAAGCGGTCCTCCGTGTGCTGTTATGATGAGAACCAGCGCTGTGCTTTGTGCCTTCTCCCGGAGCTGAAGTTTGGCCCGTCTGCCTCAGCGTTTGTCTCCCGAAGCCATTTCATCTCCAGCTTGTATTTAGTTAAATGTTGTGTTAATGTGGATGCTTAGTGCATGGTTTAAATAACACCCTAAATACACGTTTAGAGGGTAATTAAAAGCATTTGAAAAATGTTTATTGAGCTGACAGACTCATCCTTTTACGTCATTCAGCTAAAGCTAGCTTTAGCTTCAAAAGGGCGTTGCTGAGCCATTGCTGCAACTTTGCCCTTGTGGCCATCGAGGCTTTGAAAGACTCCACTTACTCTAGATTTCCCTTTCTACTTAAATAGTTTACGCACAACAGGGATCATTGTGATGGTGCGTGTTGTTTTCGGTCTGGATTGTCTTCAGGGGGTCCATCCACATCGCCTAGATTGGGTGGAGACAGCGCGGATCTCCACAACATGATGTTGTGATGGACATGGTGTCAGAACAAGCTCTTGATGCATTCTCATTTCACGGCCACCTAAGGCCATTTTAATTGAAAACATAAAAAGATGCAAGCTGCATATCTGCCTTATACAAACATATTGTATTACTTTACATGATCATATTAGTTAGATTATAATAAGTACTTACTATAAACTAAATCTTGTGAAATGTTATTCTAGCCTGAAATACTTACAAAACTGCCTATACACTGGTGATATTTGTCTATGATCTTGTTGGTCAGACCTATTTATTATTAAACTACCACATGATTTAAAATGTGATTTAATCTTACACAACTTGTTATAATGACAGGTCCCTTGGATGTGCCAGAATAAGCTCTATATTCAAATCTAAAGAAGTAAACCTAAAATGAATTATTAGGATTTATCTTTTTACCTTTGAGTTTAGTACTAAGTTTCACAAACCTGTGTAAGTCTGAAGGTCATTTATGACCCGGGCATGGTGACAACAAATATCACTGTTGCTGTGAATCAACTAGAACCAATGTATAACTTGTCCTGACTGATGACGTGCATCAAAATGATCAAAACACATCTTTATGTTGAGCTCCTATTCCTCTTGTAATATTTCAGTGCCTGTTCACAGGTTGGTAGCAGTTCTCCACTGTTGACTTTGCTGTACTTTCCCACCTGCAGCCTGTATGACCTGTTGATAGACTGTCTCTCATGTTGATTTAAGAGGTGTGTAACTTTCTTCCCCATCAAAGTATTGCTACAGCAACGGACACAACTAAATGTTATCATTACAATGCCCAAATGTCCTCAAAAAAGCTGCCTATAAACAAAGTTGACGCTCATTGTATTTGTAGCTTTAGAGTCTTGTGTAAAGGGACAGGCTCCAGAGGACAGATCTACCTCATTTACACTGTCCTTTCTGGACAAGTGAGTTCTATTGGCAACTGTAAAGTATTCATATTATCTATAATACTCGGAACTCCTAGTTATAACCTTCATGCTCACATAAATCCAGAGCATGCATTATTTTGGCTTTGTTTTGTAAATGGCCCAATGTGTTTTGAGAAACAAGTGTCTTCAGAAAAGCCCCAATGAGAAACATTACTTTGTCTGTGCTGGACTTTCAACAGTTGTCAACAATGAGGCATCATTTTCTAGAAGCTCAAAATCCTGGGAAATGGTTTGTGTGAAGTGCTTCTACTTAACTTTTTGACAGGCTGTTGTGGCTTTTTGTCAACAATTAATATTGGTAATATACTTGTGAAGTCACTACAACCTCTATTAGATAAGCATGATTTAGAGGCAGGACTTTGCTCTGTGCCTTTTGATTTACATCAGACTCTTACCTGCTTTAGGTGAGCAGGAGATAAGTGCACACAGTTTGATAAGTGCAGTGTGTTCTTGTTGTATTTGGATTGATGACTCCTGTTTATCTCAGGCCTGTCACAGGTGTGAGGCTGCACCTTATGTAATGTGTTGTAAAGCTGGAGGTGAATGTGGCTCTGTCCTGTGCTCTGCACTCTCATTAAGTGGTTTCCAGGACACTTGAGGCCTGTGTTTTGTCTTAAGCTGTGGCCTCCTCCTCGCTTTCACTGAAAAATGATCCATACATTTCCCTACTTCACAAAGGCAAATGTCATGATGGCAACAAAAGTCTTCACAAGGTGCAACAATGGACTAGTTTCTTTCTAAAATCTTATTTCTTTAAATGGTTGTAGAAAACGCGTTACTGTTCTACTTTTATGCATTAGAGAAGGCATCCAGCGGAACGTTTTGCTAAATTCCTCACAAACAAGAAGAACATCAGGTTCTCACCAGGATCTCTCTCAGCATCAGCTCCTCTTCCCTCCTTCAGAATAGTGATGAAAACCACCCTTTATTACACAGATATTCTGAACATCAGCAGCTTCTGTACTTCTCTTTTTCTCGATATTGTCAGTGCCATTCGCCCCATGCTGTGTTAAAGCAGTGCAGGGGGTTATGGTTTTAATTTTTTTTAATAATCAACAATGTCAAAAAGCCCCCATTATTGAACATTCTTCTCTTCTCTCTCTCGCTCTCGTTTTGCAATGATGGGAGAGAAATAAACCTCAGCACCTTTTTTGAAAAGTTAATTGTTTTTACCACAGATTCACTTTGCGTATTTTGACCTGAGAAAGTTCAGTTTTTTTCAAACAGTAACAACAATCCCTGCGAGTCTTTGACAAGTCTTTCCTGCTCTACACAAGCAAGTGCCTCGTATTCTACAGTGGACATTCCTCCAAACGATCTCCTGTATCAATGCCTCTCCCCATGGATCTATAGAAAGAGCATTCGCTCTGCCATGCTGTATGAGTATCCATGGCAACACTTGGGGCTGGATGATCTGGGGAATACAGTTATTATTTATTCACTATTGATTTTTGATTTGATTCATTTGTCATTTTATCTGATCAAAAACATAACAAAATTACTGTTGCAAACTTTCATGGCAAATTTTCACATGGAGCCAGAACACCGGCCTGTCACCCGTTCATCTCCCCTTCAGCCCCTGATGTTCTTATTACTATGAAGATGATTTTTAATGCATGTCTATAATCACAATGGATAAAGTAAAGATTGCAATCTGATTTTTGGCACAGCCCTACTCTGTGAACATTTTAGGCCAATAAAGCACTTACAGATAACTTAAACTTGTCTAATCAAAGGGAAATTAATAACTAGAAACTTGCAATGGCTGAAGCCATTGCGATTGACTGCGGAACAGATCTAATGTGGAATTTAGCTGAAAAATCCTTGAAATCCTTGAAACTGTTAAAATACTTTAAACATCTTTGAAACTCCTGAAGTATTTGAAGCTCCTGATATCCTTTAAACTGTTATCCTTTATACTGGTTTACATGTAAAAACCCCTATTAAGTTGCATTATACTGGTTTACATGGAAAAATCCCTATTAAGTTGAACCCATTAAACCATTCCCCCAACCACCTAATCCAACACATTAAACCCATTCCCCCCACCCCACCTAAATCCAACACATTAACCCATACCCCACCCAACATTATACTGGTTTACATGTAAAAAACCCCTATTAAGTTGCATTATACTGGTTTACATGGAAAAATCCCTATTAAGTTGCATTATACTGGTTTACATGTAAAAAACCCCTATTAAGTTGCATTATACTGGTTTACATGGAAAAATCCCTATTAAGTTGCATTATACTGGTTTACATGTAAAAATCCCTATTAAGTTGCATTATACTGGTTTACATGTAAAAACCCCTATTAAGTTCCATTATACTGGTTTACATGTAAAAACCCCTATTAAGTTGCATAATACTGGTTTACATGGAAAAATCCCCATTAAGTTGCATTATACTGGTTTACATGGAAAAATCCCTATTAAGTTGCATTATACTGGTTTACATGGAAAAATCCCTATTAAGTTGCATAATACTGGTTTACATGGAAAAATCCCCATTAAGTTGCATTATACTGGTTTACATGGAAAAATCCCCATTAAGTTGCATTATACTGGTTTACATGGAAAAATCCCTATTAAGTTGCATTGTACTGGTTTACATGGAAAAAACCCTATTAAGTTGCATTATACTGGTTTACATGGAAAAAACCCTATTAAGTTGCATTATACTGGTTTACATGTAAAAACCCCTATTAAGTTGCATTATACTGGTTTACATGGAAAAAAAACCCTATTAAGTTGCATTATACTGGTTTACATGAAAAAAACCCTATTAAGTTGCATTATACTGGTTTACATGGAAAAATCCCTATTAAGTTGCATTATACTGGTTTACATGGAAAAATCCCTATTAGGTTGCATGATTACACTGAAGTCCTTGAAACTGCTGAAGTCCTTGAAACTGCTGAAGTCCTTGAAACTGCTGAAGTCCTTGAAACTGCTGAAGTCCTTGAAACTGTTGAAATCTTGAAACTGCTGAAATCTTGAAACTGTTGAATCCTTGAAACTGTTGAATCCTTGAAACTGTTGAATCCTTGAAACTGTTGAATCATTGAAACTGTAGAAATGTCTGAAAGAGCTGAAGTCCTATTAAAATGCATGGGCCTATTAAAATGCATTGCAGAATTCTCAATGCAGAT